AACCCCAACACACAGGCAGAGAGTCTCGGGGCTAACAAAAAGCCCACCCCAGCCCTCCGCCTCTCACCCGGAGCAACTCCAGCAAAGTAGAGTGTCCAACCCCTCTCCAGGTCTCGGGTTCCAGAGCCAATGCAATGTGTCGAGGTGAGTCCGACTATATCTAGCCGGTACCGCTCAACCTCTGCCACAAGCTCCGGCTCCTTCCCCGCCAGCAAGGTGACGTTCCATGTCCCAAAAACTAGTTTTCTTGTCCGGGGATTGGACCGCCAAGGCTCCCGCCTTGGTCTGCCACCCGATTCGCATTGCACCGGACCCTTCATGTTCCTCCTGCGGGTGGTGGGTCCACAGTTGGACGAGCCCATGTATCCGGTTCGGGCTGGGCCCGGCCGGGCCCCATGGGCGAAAGCCCGGCCACCAGGCGCTCGCTCACGGGCCCCAACCCCAGGCCTGGCTCCAGGGTGGGACCCCGGTAACCCTCCGGGCCGGGTACTCCGACTCTTCGTTTTAACCGCCATGAAAGATCCTTCGAACACGGGCAAGTTCAAAAAGAAATACAGGAGGCATCCCACTTATTTCAGACACACGTTGGGGTTCCAGAAGGAGGTCAGTGGAGGTTTTTTTGGATCAGTTCACTGAAGTTCGCACAGCACTAATAGAAATAGAGTTGGGGACATCTTCAAACTCCAGCAAAGCAAGCAGCCTGCGACATCGTATAGAGGCTTTTGACACAATCATCTCTGCTGTCACAGCAAACAAAATTCTTGGCTACATCCAGCCAGTGTCTAAAGCACTACAGTCACCAAATATAGACCTAATGACTGCATAAAAAGAGGCAAGACTGGTTGCACAGGCCATTTCTATGCTACGAAGTGAGGAGGCCTTCAGTGAAATTTTTGGAAAAATCAGAAAAACTTGCCAGCTTCATTGGAGTTACTCCGGTAAAAGAGCGTGTGATTAATAGACAGACAAAAAGACATAACACACTTCACAGTCATTTGAGGAACATTGCAGACTCAATCTCTTTTATCCATTTATTGATCACGTAACAAGCCAACTAAACACCAGGTTTGCAGAGGACTCTGAGCCAGCCATGTTTGCAACACACATAGTACCTTTAGCCCTGTTTAAACTCACTGAAGAAAAAAAAAAACTGATGGTATCATGGTACAGACAGGACCTCCCTCAGCCAGAATCAATCAACCAGGAGATGGGTTGTTAAAGAACCAGCCTCCAACAGTACTGGCATCAACAGCCAATGAAACATTAGATCAGATGGATCAACAATTCTACCCAAACATCCACTGTATCCTCTCCATCTACCTCACACTACCAGTGACCACCTGCTCATGTGAGAGGTCATTCTCGGCACTAAGACGACTGAAATCCTGGCTACGATCCAGCATGACAAATGATAGGTTGTCAGGACTTGCAATGATGCATGTGCATAAACTCAGAGCACTTGACCCCAAAAAAGTTCTCATGCACTGGGATGCTTCTGGACACAGGAGAATTTCACTAGAATTTGATAAAAAGGTAAACTTCATGTCAAAATCTTGCATACAATCAGTAACCCGGTTGTTGACGCACAATTTCCTGTCATTCCAGTGAGTCTTCATGGATGAGCCTGGTTCATCCTGAGGCTTCATCCTGATGCCCATGGATTTATTTACTTCAGCACACACAAAACATACATGTCATACTACACACATACTACATAAACACTTTAGTTTTGAATAAATGGTTAAATTTGATTTGAGTTTTGGTCTTCATTTTGATCTCTACTTTCTAATCAATTTACATGGAACAATGGCTTGTGGACCTTGGTAGCTTTGAAACTCTCGATACGGCCCTGATTGCCACCCTTTAATTTTCATCAGTATTTTCCTTTCTTGTTAAACTAATGATTGTGTTACATTTGATGCCACTAAAAATTCATCTTAATTCCTTTATTTTATTTTAATTTTAACTTTTACAAAAACAAAGCATGCTGGGAAATCTCTTCATCCAATCAGCTTCATCAGAAACGTCATCACCGACAAACCAACTCTGTGTGTGTGTGTGTGTGTGTGTGTGTGTGTGTGTGTGTGTGTGTGTGTGTGTGTGTGTGTGTGTGTGTGTGTGTGTGTGTGTGTGTGTGTGTGTGTGTGGTGTGTGTGTGGTTTGCGAGACCTATTTGTCAGGTTACACACCAGCATTATGAAACCAAAAGGTTTATGAGACCATTTTTGATGGTCTCTTAATTAGTGACTTTTAAAGTGTTGTAATCTTTGAAAAATATAAAAAAGTAAACATTGTTACTATATTTTGCAAACTTTGTAACATCAGTTATCATTTTATTTAGTTATTTCAGCAACTTAACCTTCCTTTTGTGTTTTATAGCCAATTTAACAAATGGTTTCGTAATTCATATCGTGTGTGTTGTGTACAGTATCAGAGACCCCTGCTGGTAGAAAACTGCATAGCAGGGCTGATACAACCGATACAATTTAGCACCTAAGCAGCAGGACTTCTCCTGGCCTAAAACTGGCTTCTCACTAAAAATATAAATTGCCATAATTTCATCATGGAAGGACTAGGAGTCACAAAACATTTTGTGGTTGTTTGTCATCCACTCCTAAACAACAATCAGTAGTCAGATGATGACGTGATTAAGGGTCCACCCCCTCACAACAGAAAGGGTCATGTTTTACTCTGAAAGGTCCCAATTGTGCCCTTCTGATCTAACCAATATGAATTGCTGCCAAATAACAGTTGACATGTTGGGCTCACTTAGCATCCAACACTGGCAGGTGTTGAAAGAGGGCAGGGCTGTGGCATTATGGATAAGTCAGGCGTAACGCCATAGCAATACGTTTGCCTCTGTAACGATTAAATTTACATATTATTTAATGAACCATAAAATGTGAGATTCCATAGGAAATATGAAATCAATCTTATGGATCTTTGGATAATTTAAACCAGAAGATTGGAACTTTTTATTGCAGGGATTATGTAACCACTTAGTATTAACTCAGAGACAAAAAAAAAAGAGAGTCAAGTTTTAAAAGTTAAAAGATTTATTACTAAACAAATTAAAACTAGACTAACTTTAAACACTAAACACTCTGTGTGATGAATGGATCTAGGGGTGAATGAGGCAAGATGGATGGTGTAGTGTGGAATGTTGTTCAACCAGCAAATCCGGAGAAACGATTAGTTCTGATGGGAGTGAAGGTGATGTTTTGCTCTAAGCTTTGGTTTGGAGATTTATAACACACATTGAAACGCCATTCTGCCGGTCTACGTACCCTTTGCGGAAGTCCCTGTTGGATCAGGAATGTCGAGGTCCAGCTTGACCTTTTCTGGAACCGAAGCCGGTAGAAAGGCAGCGGTTGCCGACCAGACCAGTCTTGAGATACTCCCAGGTCACGACAGTTTATTGGCATCTAGCAAGACCCAAAAAGGGGTTGTGATGGTTCAGCTTTTATTCTGAAAGGAACCGTTGCAGCAGTTGGAACGGCAACAGATTTAATCCAGTTTGTCTTTAGGTTCTTTCGGCTGAAGAGGAAAGTTACGGATTGGCCACTCCGACAACTTCTCTAGAACACTGTAACGGAATGAAATGACTGCCCCCCCCCACCCCACCCCCCCACCCCCACCCCCCCCACCCCCCCCCCCACCCTGCACAGAACTAGTCTGCATGAGATATGGCCTCAAGGTCTCATGCATTTGCTTCTAACATGCTTCTTTTCAGCTCAACAGCAGAATGAAGAATGGACTCTCTCCTTTCAATTAATCAAAGAACTCTATTTTAATAAGCTAATCACGCAAAGTGTTAGTCAATAAATAAGATGTGACCAATCTGTGAAATCAAAATATTAATTACTTTATTGTAATCTTATAGAATATGATGAGTAAAATTACTTTAAATGTTCCAATAGGACTGATCTCACGTAGCGTTAAAAGACATGACACATTGCTTTCACTGATCCAATCAGAATCTGCCAGATCTGACGGAGGCGTGGTTTTGATGGTGTTTGGTAAGTCTTTCAACTTTTCATTCGACCATAAACCAAAACATCCGAACAGCCGGAGGACCTCAGGACCACAGAGAACGTTCATGTTTTTAAGTTCAGGCTCAAGACCCATCTATTTAGGTTAGCTTTTAGCTAAATATTTACTATAGTTTTATTTCTTGTTTTATATGATTATATTTTAGCACAGTTTCATTATTTAATATTATTATAATTTAACTGTCCATATGAATTTATTGATTGCTTATTTTCATACTTTTGTCATTTATAATAGCGCTTTTATTTTCACATTTTTACTCATTTTAATCCAGTGTTTTCTCTGTAGGGGCCCTCTGCCCCGAGGGCGGTGGTCGACTGTTGCTTCCTGGGCGCTCTTTAGGTAATGTTTAAGTGGAGGTGGGGGTCTATGCTCCCCTTCCTCTGAGCGCCCTGACTTAGTGTGGAAGACCTGATCCTGCCAGGGCAGATGGCTCCTCTGATGGTGTTTCCTTGCCTTACCTTAGTTGGCTCTTCTGGACTCAGCCGAATATATTTTTACTGGTGTGTGTGTGTGTGTGTGGGGGGGGGGGGGGGGGGTGCGTGTGTGTGTGTGTGTCCGTTAATGTTTTTAAACTGTTATGGGAATTTGGGGTCATTTTAATTATGTAAAGCACTTTGCTTGAAAAGCGCTTTATAAATAAAGTCTGATTGATTGACATGGAACCCTGAATCCAAAAGACAAGTAGATGTTATTAAACACGTATTTCCGATCGAATCCAAAATGACGTAGAAGAGTACCAGTGTGTGAGTCCCTCTAGTGCAGTGGTTCCTAATCTGGGTGTCCCGACCCCCACAAGGGGGCGCCAAAGGCTCTCAGTGGGTCGCCAGGACCTCTCCACTTCAAGGGGTTAAAACTTCATTTATTACTTGTTTATAGCCTACATTTTGCTCACAGTTTTTTTTCATGAGTGAAAAGTTTACTCATATAAAGACAGGAAATAATTAGTACAGAAAAAGTAACACACTTTTTAGAACATTTTGCTCAGCTCACTGTTTTATTTTCAAGTGTCAAAAGTTCATTAAAGATAGGACTGGTTGATTAATCACAGCCTTTACAGTAAATAATCTAGTATAAACAGTAATATACACATTTAAGTACATTTTGCTCAGTGTATTTTTTATGTGTCAAACATTTATTGAAAGGAATGATTGATTTATCAGTGTTTACAAGAAACAATGTGTTCAGAAAAGTAATACAAACTGTCAAGCACATTATGCTCTGTTTGGTTTTGTTAATGACTTTGTTCTGTACTGCAGCCTACTATTACTGTTATCTATTGAATCAAAGCATATTAAAATGTGCTTGAACAATTTTATCATTTCTTAATGTTTGTATTGGAAGAGAGAATGGGAGGGGGTCGTCAAAAATTTTACTGGTAAAAAACGGGGTCCCTTGGGAAAAAGGTTGCGAACCACTGCTCTAGTGGATGTTGTGGAGTATTGTGTTGTCTTTGCTCTGCAGGGTTTTCTACACACTTTTACTGTTTCCTGTCACTGTGGGCTGCAGAGCACAGTAGTACACAGCAGAGTCTGTTGCTGCAGCAGAGGAGATCAGCAGGTCCAAACGATTTCTCTCCTCGTTCAGTTCTGCTGTCAGTCGGGGGTTTGGATGTTCTCCTTCTACCACCGTGGGTTCTTTGGTGTCAGTGATGAGGAGCAGGACGCGAGGAGCTGATCCAGGATCCTGTCGGTACCACTGGAGGTTGTGTGCTTTGACTGAATAGTTGCAGGACAGATGAAGTTTTGATCCCTCTGATGAAACCACTTCAGCTCTGCTGGCAGTAATCTCCGCTTCCAGGCTTTTAGCTGCTGGTCAGACAACGTGATGTTATTTAGGTATTCACCCTGAGATGTTCTGCTCTGAACTTCAGCTCAGAGACCATCCAAACTGGATCTGTGAAGTTCTGGAAAACGTTTTTATTTTCCAGGTTTGTGCTCAGAAACATACGTACCTACGAGAGCTGAGCAGAACCAGATGACAGCCAGCGTTTCCATTCTTCTGCAGGTGAAATGTTGCTCTGATGCCCTCAGCTGTCTGTCTGCAGCAGCTCTACAGTCCCATCAGTAGGAGGAGACCTGTCTGGATCCTCATGAGGAGGTGGTGCAGCAGCTCTGCATCTCCTGCCCACATGGACCATTCTGACTTCTTCAAATACATGATTACCACCTAAGTACTACTTTAAGAGCTTAAACCATCTGGAGTTGTCTATTGTGAAGGTTTAGCTACGTTGTAGTGGAGAAAAGCTAATGAGCCTTTTAGTTCAGCACAAATGTTTGGAGCACCAAACAGAAAGGAACAGTGAGAGGAGGCCGTTTGCAGCTCCTAACCATGGATTATTGTTTAAAACCTTTGTTGTCCCCAAGTCCAGTTGCTGCAGCGCGTGTAGCGGCATCTCCAGAGGGTCTAGTCTGTCCATCAGACGTAGTCCACCCCACACCATCTACGTCGTTTATCTAAAATAAAACCATTCCTGACAAGACAACATTGGAGATGGTAGTTCATGCTTTTATTACAACATGAACTCATTACTGCAGTTCCCTCCTGTTTAGGGTGTGCAGGCCAACTCTGGTAAGAGTACAACTAGAGCAAAATGCAGCTGCAACACTTCTATTGGAAAAAAGAAATTCGACCATGTCTCCCGTCTTGGAATCCTTGCACTGGCTGCCTGTGGATTTCTGGATTCATTTTTAAGTCCTTTTATTGGTTTTTAAATCATTAAATGGGCTAGCCCCTACATACTTGCAGACACTGACAGAGCCAAAGACTTGTCGCCCGGACAGTAGTCTCTCACAAGTAGGACCCACAAGAGGGGACAGAGCTTTTTCTGTGGCGGGCTCGAAACTCTAGAATGAGTCACCATACAATGTACCTGCTTCACCAACGGTGACGATTTTTGAGGTCAGGCTAAAGACTTTATCTGATCTGGCCGTTACCCTTGGCCGTTAGTCTGCTTGGAGTTTTCTTTTATTTCTCTTTTAATCCTTATCCTGTTTGTGTTCAGGCTTTGTTGTCACCCCTGTGCCTGATAGGTGCTTTAGAAATAACGGTAGAGCTGAGCTGAGCCGAGCCGAGCCGCACCACGCCCACTAAGATCTCTGGCTTCTGGCTGGTCCAAAGCTTAGAAAAAACAGACCTTTAAAAGAAAAAACACAGAATTGAAACTTAAGTTCAAGCGAGGTGTCCAGCCTTCTGCTAAATTAATCTCTCAATGGGGATCATTCCAGGGCCCTCATCTATCAAACGTTCTTAGAAACTGTCCTATAGTCCCTCCTACGACCGAAATCTAGAACGTTCGTACAAACGGTCAAAATCCTGATTTATGAAACGTGCGGTGGCCACTCGTACGCATGTTCCTCCGCACTCGTCTGATGATAAGTCCCACCTGTGCTTACGCAGGTGCTCGAGTTCGTTCTAGGTCATTTACACACAGGAACACCCTCAATTAACCATATTTGGTCACGCTAGCATGTGAGGGGATTCCCAGTTTTTTTTTTTTTTCAGAAAAAATTTATTGACAGCAAGATCGAAACACTGGCTGCCGAAGCGCAAAATAAAGTTTCAGAGGTTATGAATGCGGTCAGGACAGAGAAGAGGTTCCCGTCAGGAATAAATAAAAACTTTAATCGTAGAGTAACGTTGTAACTTACAAAACGTTACAATGCTCACGCTCGATTGGCTGCTCTGTTCTCGAGGACTTTGGATAAAAATGGAAGGTTAGATGTTGGTCTATAATTCCTTGGGTCATCTGGATCCAGAGAAGGTTTCTTAAGTAGAGGTTTGATTACAGCGACCTTAAAATCCCAGACATGATTGTCACCTCCTGATATAATGTTTGGACATCAGCTCAACCAATCAGATGCTTTTGTGCTTCTGCAGCAGCTGTGTCTGATGTCTGCTGCTTCATGTGTCTGTTGTCTTTGTCATCAGTCCAACGACTCAACAACCAGAGTTCCCAGTATGTGAGTCCCTCTAGTGGATGTTTGCTCTGCAGATTTTCTACACACTTTTACTGTTTCCTGTCACTGTGGGCTGCAGAGCGCAGTAGTACACAGCAGAGTCTGTCACATGAAGCTTCTGGATCCTCAGAGGAACTGATTTCACCTCATGATTGAGGGTGGATGAATATTTCTCCTTGTCTGCGTTTTTCCCTTCTCCGATCTTAAAGCGACTCAGGATGAACTGGGGCCTGTTGTTTCCTTCCTGTCTGTACCAGTAGAGATAATGGTTTGATGAACTGGTGTTGTACAGACAGCTGAGACTTACAGAGCCTCCCTGGCCAGCGACCACCTCTGGTTTTTCCTGCAGGACGCTGTCGGTTTGTGCTCTGATTTCTGTAAAACACCAACAAACAGAATCAGGGAGCTGTTAGAGAGCGGTGGGTGTGTTGGATGGTGGTGTCGGTACCGAGGCACGCAGCAGCCAGCAGCGCTGAGACCATCAGAGGCATCATGTCTGCAGTGGTGAGCAGGAGGAACACTGATCTTTGTGTTTAGTCTTCATCAGTACTCAGCTGCTGGGTCAGAGGGAGGAGGCTAATCAGTTGGCTCCTCCCCCCATGTCTCTGTGCTGATGTTCTTCACTGCTGCGGAAGACGAGATTTTAGACGTTTCATCTGGGTCAGAGTTCACCATACAGACGGATACATTTCCACACAGCCTGAAACAAAGAGGAAGTCATCTTGGTCGGAAAACAATGAACAAATCAGCTGTTTCTTCATTGAAGGACCTTTATTATGTTCAGAATCAGAAGTTTTATTTCCATATGTGTGAGCAGGTTCGCCTCATTAGGAAATAGCTGCAGTGCTTGGTTCAGAAACAAGAAATAAGACCAATAAAAGGTTTAAAAATAACATGAAGGAGCAGCAATAAGAGAAATTACTAATTTATACGAGACAGTATCAGTGCTGCTCAGAGCCCAAACACTACTCAGGGTCATGTGACTGGAACAAAGCCACAGGAGTGGGCAGCCCTAGGACTATTCCAAACACACCCACGTCACCCCGCTTCTCCTCCATCTTCACCAGCTGCCGATCACTTTCAGGGTTCATTTCAAGATCCTGGTTCTGGTCTATAGGGCCTTACATGGACAAGCACCATCTTACATTGGTGATCTTCTTAGTCCCTACACCCCCAGCAGGTCCCTGAGGTCCAGTGATCAAAGCCTACTGGTTGTGCAGCGCACCAGGCTAAAGAACAAAGGTGACAGATCATTTGCTGCTGTGGCCCCCAGACTCTGGAACTCTCTCCCCCTGAGCCTGAGATCAGTGGACTCAGTGGTCTCCTTTAAAAAGCAGCTGAAGACTCACTTGTTCAAGCTGGCTTGTGTATGACCTTCTTCACCACTCTCTCTTTATTCTGCTCTCCCCACCTATTCCACCTTCCTCAGGATCCACTGATGTCCCTCTTTTCTATTCTCTCTCTCTTTCTTAACATTTTTTTATCACAATTGTCTCTTTTTGCTCATTTTAAATATATTTTTAAACGTTTTCTAAGCGCCTCGTGATTTTTATCTTGAGAGGCGCTATAGAAATGATATTGTCTTCTTCTTCTTCTTCTTCTTCTTCTTCATGAGTCCAACAGCACAGAGGAAGAATTGCTTCTTGTGGGGAGAGGTTCTGGTCTGAATGGATCTGAGCCTCCAGTCAGATGGGGGCGAGTCCAAGAGACTGACCAGGGTGACACAGGTCAGCTATGATCCGACCTGCACGCCTCAGTGTCCTGCAGGTGTGCAGGTCCTGTAGAGAGGGGAGTTAGCAGCCAATGACCTTTTCAGCAGAGCATGCAACTCGCTGCAGCTTCTTCATGTCCCTGCCTGGTGGTGGCTCCAGCGTACCACACGGTGATGGAGGAGGCCGTGACTGAGGTGTAGAACCGCCTCATCGACTGTACTGACAGGTAGAATTTCTTCAGCTGCATCAGGAAGTTCATCCTAGATCAAAGGTATCTCTGGCCCTACAAACTGTATCATTTCCACAGACTCAGCCACCTGAAACAGAGGAAGAAGTCATGTCGGTTGTAAACGATGAAAGACTTTATTATATGTACTCCATTTTTTAGTCACACAATCAAACTATCTTCTAACAGACCATAATAAATTTGTGATAATTCAGTTCCTCAATAAATTTGAAAGGGCTTTTATTTTTTAAAGCAAAATCAGAATAACTTGATATTGATATAGTATCAATGTGGGGTTGTATACTGTTGATCTAAAGTGGAATTACCCTGTGGAAACAGCAATTTGCTATTTTAGAGCATTTTGAAGTCGTTAAAAGAGTCTGTCAAATATGGGCAATTTCAAATTGCTGTGGTTTGAGTGTTGATACAAAATGCAACTACTCTTTGGAAATATGACTTTTGCTTTGAAGAGCATTCTGACGTCATTGAAAGAGTAGTTCAAAAATGAAAATTCACAGGGCTTTTACTTTGAAATCCAAAATAAGATTGCCTTGATCAGGGGTGTCAAACTCATTTTAGCTCAGGGGCCACATTGAGGGAAATCTAGTCCCAAGTGGGCCGGACCGGTAAATTAATTAAATACTTCAGATTGTTTTATTTGTTTTAATACAATCAATATAAAACAAGGCTGGAGCCTGAGGACAGTGTAGTACAAGTACAACACCTGAAGTGTACTTGAAAATTTGAAAAAAAAAAAAAATCAACAAATAAAAAAAAACATTCCTTAGTGATTCAGAGCTTACAGATCACATGGCTAGATCAGTTTCATGCAGCACTTAAAGTATATTTGACTCTTTTAGCTTTCACCGGCACATCAATATCAGAAGTCACATCCTGAGTGGCGGCCAACTTCAGGATGTGATTCAAGTTCTTGTGTGAGCCTTAAGCGCAGCTTTGTTTTATTTATATTGATTACAGAGAAAACTTGCTCACAAAGATACATTTATTTTCACTCTACATTGAAAAGTATGAAAATAAAGTTTTCACAACCATCTCGCGGGCCGGATTTTTGACACCCCTTGCCTTGATATTGACAGGACGCTAATAGTGAACAGGCCTAAATTATTTGTTATTATTTTCTTAAAATATCTGATAATTCACTCGAAGTTGATTTTTATTTTGAAATCCGGTTTCCACATCCATTCCCGTAATCACTTGAATAGACGAGGAACAGAAAACAAACTGGAGGCTGGCCTGACACTAGTTCGCTGGTGTGGTTCTTCTTCTCAGACAAAAACTGAAGGTGGCAACAGACGGGTCCCCGAGCGGATGTAGCATGACTTCCAGCGGAAGTAAGCGTTGCTAGCAGCAGCGTTAGCTTGAGCTTTTCCAGCTAGCAGCAGTGTCTGAGCTGAATGCTTCAGGAGTTTCAGCAGCCATGTCTTCAGTTCAGCATCTGAGAGAGTTCATCAGCGAGCGCCTAGCTGCTGCTGCTGAGGAAATATTCTCCCAGTTTGAGAAAACCATCGAAGAAGAGCTGGAAGCTCAGCGCAGACTGCTGGATGTCAGCTGGGATCCGCGGATCCGGCTGCGCAGAGTCACCGGTACGTGGTCCAGAAGGTTCTGGTGGAACCAGATCCGAGGCTCCTTATGTGTTCTCCACAGAAATAACCGGAAATGCTAAATGATTCAGAGGCAGAGAGTACGTAACTATGCATGACGCAGACTGCTGCCTAGAACAATTATCCTAGCTGTGTAAAAAAAAAAACGTCTGCTTTAATTCTGACGCGTCAGAACCAGACGAATCCAGTTGCCTTCACGTGAAGCCCTTTGGATTACCATGACCTGGATGACTGACCTTCACCAGCTTAGCTGTACTCACTCCGGCGTTTGGCAACTTTTTTTGACCCGAGGGTATTCCGACCCAAGGGGTTAACGGCACACCTACACTTTTTACCCACCTCCACTAAACCTGTCACCTTTACACACCCCTCTGTCTGCTGTCTCCATCAGCTGCAGGTGGAGGCGACCAGCATTCTGCCTCTGAAGGTTTAGGGAAACAAAGTCCATGTTAGGGCTGGGCGATATGGCAAAAATAGAATATCACGATTTTTCCAATATTTTAATCACGATTTCGATTTTATCACGATTTTTTTATCCATGAATAGCATAATTTCAATTGCGTATTAAAGAAGAGAAACATTGAATAAATAAACATTTATTCATATTAGGGATAATCAGCACAGTGCTAACACACATATTTTAAACTCACACCAGAGATGATAAAAGCCCTGAGAGAAACAATTACAAAAATCAGTTTTTCTCGTTTTTCAAGTAACTTAACATAAATTAAAATCGTAAACATATTTTAAGTGCAAACATGTCAATTGCAAACGTATTGTGCAAACATTAACTTGTTCAAAATACTATGTAGCTCCCAGTTGCTCATGTAGTGGATAGTTAAGCTCAAATACGGCTCTGATGTGCGGCTGGACCAGAGATCGCTTGTGGTAGCAAATAACTGCGCATTCTGAATATTTTCTGCAACAAGTCTCTAAATAAAGTAAAATTTTCCAGTGCAGATTGGAGACAACCCATAGAAGCACTGATTTGATCTCATTTCAGAGAAAAATAGAACAGGTTAGATGCACCTAATAAATAAAATTACTAACAAACTCAGGAATCTTTCTTTGCTTCACTGTTCTGGTGCTGAGAATATCACTAATGTGGATCACAGGAGATACACAGATGAATGCACCTGTTATTATTTGGAGACTACATTTACTGCAGCTGGCAGAGGCAGAGATTGTTTCTATTGATACACGGAGTTTACAGAATCATTTTAAATTTTAATAGGGGAAGACTGCAAGAGGGAGCGGTAAATTACAGGGGGTCCCCAGCAAAAACAAGAATCTACGAGTCTGATGAAACCCGCTGGTTTTCCACCAGGCAGTCACGGGGCAGCTCCATCGACCCAGTGACCGAGCTCAGTCGGTACCGACACCGGCTCGGCAGAGGGTGGACGAGCCGAGGCGGCGTCGTGCTCTGCTTAAGAAGCGGTGTTATTTTCCTGCTTCAGAAGAAGCGTCCAACGTGTTTTTACGCTTTCTCCGAGACATGTCACGTCGCTAAGTTGTTAGCGCCGCGCGCTAAGGAAACCCTGCGTTCCTCTTCGGAACGAAAACCTCCTTGTCGCTCAGCCACGGCGAAGCCAAGTTTGTTCACACACAGGTGAAAACAAGCGGGGCACTAATATATTACTATGACTCACTCTGATTGGTTAAGGGTCAAACAAAGGCGTGTCATTCGCCTGAGGTAAGTTCCATTTTCATTCAGAGGCAGAAATTCAACAGCAGAGCTGTGAGTCGTGATAAAACGGTCTCTCAAAAATGACAGACCGTCAGATGTGTAGATCGTAAAACGGTCTAAAATCGTCATATCGCCCAGCCCTAGTCCATGTATGATGCAGAAACCTTTGTGGGGATTTTAATATTAATCTGTTGAATCCAAGTGCAGAGTTCCTTCATTCCTTCAATAACACCTGAGCTCCATGACGTCTGAGACTGATGCATCAGTGTTACAGCAGGACTAAAGACATGATCAGGAACAGGTTACAGCTGGATGATCTAGGAAGGTAGAAGATCAGGACGTCTGAGCGGTGAACAGGTGAGCGGACCTTCGGGACGTCCCGCTGTCACGCTAAGAAGGGCACGGCTGCATACCCGCAGATTCGCTTCGGGTCTGCAGCCGTAGATATTCATCACGTCTTCCTCGTTCTTCACGTGATACGTTTGGATGAAAACATCTACCTCTTTAGCTCCTGATCAGCTGATGACAGCTTCATCACACCGCGCTGCTTAACGCACGCATTTCCTTATCATTAACAGAAACAATCATTTTGTTAAAAGAAGACGGTAATTAATTAGTTTGCTCGTTACAGAAAGAAATTTTTTTTTATTAACGTGGTTATTTTAAACGGCGTTATTACCATCACTTGCTGTGTCTACACTACAGCATGCAGCGACTGAGACAGTGAGGGTCTCCGCCCACCCGGCCAATCATCATCGTGTTTGTAAGTGCGTTACCGACACCTCTCTCTCCCAGGCTGCAGCTGAAGTGTGGCGGTCGGAAAGCCTCACACTACTGCTCAACGTTCGACAAGCACATAGTAACGCACAACCTTCTGTCCCCAGTAACGGTAACGGCGGGAAAAGTAATTAATTAGATTATTCCGTTACCTATAAAAGAACGCCGTTAGAAACGCCGTTATACTTAAACGGCGTTACTCCCAACACTGGTGAAGGGGTCTCTAGTGTAGAGCTCTTTGGGGTCCTCCTACAGAGCAGCTCATTCATTATTTCCCTCATGCTGCTGAACATGATGTAAGTTGAGTTTTAATTACTGATGTTTCTGACCGTTGATCTGTTTTAAATATGGGGCAAGCTTCCTGTAGAAGTAAACTCTGCTTATAAAATGTCATTAATGCTCTTCATAACCACGGCGGTGGTGAAAAACCACGGCTAACTGAGGACACGACGCATAGAGACGTGATAATATGCATTAACTCGGTAATGACACTTTAACCAAGTTCTCCGGTCCCTACAGAACTCCCACAGCAACATGTTTATAAGAAGGAGAAGGTTCTGGTGGATCATCAACTCTGTAACCAGAAGAACAACTGCAGTCTGGACCAGAAGGAACCAGAACCTGTACCAGGGGCAGAGAGACACGTTGAATTCTGGGCTTGGCACGAGGACCAGCATCTTCTCCTGAAGAAGAACTCAGGTGACTTTCTATGTACATTCAGATGTGAAGAAATGTGTGCAGTCTGAGGACCTCATGGTGTGGACCTGGGGTCAGACCCTGAGCCAGTCTGGAGCACATTAAAGGTGCGGATGAACCAGGATGGGTGTAAAGTCACATCTATTCTAATAATAATATGTTTAATTTGAGGGCACCTTTCTAGAGCTGAATCCTTCAGGAGTTTCAGCAGCCATGTTCTTCTGTTGTAAGACCCGTGAGATTACATGTGGTGTGCCCCAGGGTTCGATTTTAGGCCCAGCGCTTTTTAATCTGTATACGCTTCCACTTGGTGGCGTCATTGGGCGATAAAGAGTACAATTTCACAGTTATACAGATGATACACAGTTGTACATCTCTGTATCTCCCGATGATGCACGACCATTGGATGCCCTTTTTAATTGCATTTCGGATATTGAATTCTGGATGGCAGAAAACTTTCTCCAGCTTAACTGGGACAAAACCAAAGTTTTAGTCATCGGTCCTGAGACCCAGAAAGAGAAACTTTTACCAAAGCTACAGTCACTAACTCTTAATTCGTCTTCTCAAGTGAAGAACCTGGGTGTGAGTTTGGACTCTGAGCTAACTTTTATCCCCCACATTAAGAACATTACAAAAATTGGTTTTTATCACCTGAAAAACATCGCCAGAGTCCGCCCCTTTCTCTCTCTGGCCGATACAGAGACGCTGATGCACGCTTTTATCACCAGTAGAATTGATTACTGTAATGTCCTGCTATCTGGTCTTCCCAAAAAGAGCATCTCAGGCTTAAAACTCCTACAAAATTCAGCAGCTCGTGTCCTGGCGAAGACCAGGAAGCAAGAGCACATAACAACTGTCTTAAACAAGCTGCATTGGCTTCCTGTACGTTTCAGGATCGTTTTTAAGTTTCTTTTAATGGTTTTTAAATATCTTAATGGTCTTGAACCTTATCTCTCAGAACTGCTTCATTAATACGAGCTTTCGCGGTCCCTGCCCTCCTCTGGCAGCCATCTCTTTGTCATTCCAAAAGTCAGAACACACTCCCAAGGCGAGGCAGCCTTCCCGTTTTACGGCCCTCGCCTCTGGAACAGTCTGCCAGAGGACCTCAGGGCCGTAGAGAGTGTTCTTGTTTTTAAGGCCAGGCTCAAGACTCACCTTTTTAGTATAGCTTTTACTTGATTTTGATCTATTTTAGCCTGTTTTACCATCTTTTCTATATTTTATCAGTGTTTTATTACTTACTCTTTTAATTAAATGACTCATATTTCCTTATATATTCATTTTAACTTGTAATAATTATTGGTTTTAACCAGTATTAATAATCTGTTGTACAATATACAGTGGGGCAAAAAAGTATTTAGTCAGCCACCGTTTGTGCAAGTTCTTCCACTTAAAATGATGACAGAGGTCAGTAATTTTCATCATAGGTACACAGGGTCCGAAATTAACACTCGCCACTCGCCAAATGTGAGCAAATTGCTCCATTTGGCGAGTAAATATTTGAGCTCTATCTGCCACATAACGAGTAAATGTTTGCACCAAATTAGTTATGTTTATCAGTCATCTTCCATGGATTTCTGATACTCCTCCCATCTGCATGCAACGTACGCGAAACATGAACGCCGCATCCAACGTCATTTCCACCTATCCAATTCAATCAGTTTATCAAGTTAGCGGTTAGCTTCATGTTAAAACTAGCGGTGAAATGTGGCGGTTTTTAACTGGAGTCAGCCAGCCTTCCAAAAGAAAACTCGTCGAACTGGAAGAAAAACCATCAGGACCAGTGGCAACCAGAAGATTTTGTGAAAAGTGGCGAACTGGAGATGGCGGAGCCATGAGACAATGGCTACATTATGTTGGCCACGTAGCGTTGCTGCCTTTCACAGACACTTTTTCTGCTCTTGCTGCAAACAGGATAGCCGTCTTCTATCAACTGTCCCTCGGCATTCTTCAAATATAAAAAAAAATGCCCATACTTCCTTCTTTGAGGGATAATAAATGTCCCGAGTGCTAAAGTGCGCATGTGCCGCCGGCAACTTCAGCAGATGATACGGTGGCTGGCAAGGGTCACCGCGCCTACACTCCAGCCACGGTAATCCACCGAGATAATATATATTTTTTAAAAACAAGACGGTTGTTATTATTGTCAACTTTTTAACCGGGGTTTACTGCTACACCGGTTATCGTGACAACCCTAGCCCTGACACACTTTCATATTCTCATGGTGCAGCTGTGTTCTCCAGAGATCAAGGACTATGACCCAAATGAGGCTGTAATGCTTTGGCACAAAGACTGTGACAGCTGCATTGCCCCTGGGCGGGTCTGGGTGGGGGGCCTGGGGGCTCGGGGTTTGGGGGTGGCCGGCCCCGGGTGGGGATCTGGGCGGGGCCTTGGGGGTCGGGTCCTGACATGTATGCTGCCGGGAAGAAGGCAGGAACATGCAGCAGTGCCTGGCCCGGGTTCGGGGGCCTCAGGTAGACCTTGGCTCCTCTGCCGTTCCATCACAGGGGAGGGGGAGGTCCAGGAGGGGGAGGACCCAACCTTACCTGGATGTCCCATGTCTTTAATATTCTGGAAGTTGTGCAAATGCAGGGATGGGCATAGATATTCTGCTGGGGTGGGGCTGGGTTGGTGCCCTCGGACTCCGTGAGGCTCTGTAATGCTGCTGCTTTGGGCCCTGGCAGGATGGGCTGGGGTCTCCATGCCCTGGGTGCCAGTTTGACAGCGGAGGTGCCTATTGGGGCCAGTAGGGGAGCTGGCTCCCTGGAGAGCTAAGCCCAACCAGCCATTCCTCCCCATCCCTGCATGTTTCTCTCCTGCTTCCTCACATCATCACACAAACATACACATAGGACCTTGGGGGGTGGGCAAGTCAGGGAGTGCGGGTATGAACCCCATTTCCGCATTCCTGTTGTAGTGGAATATAGTTGTATATTCTTACACTTTTTATTAGGTCCAGATATTATAATCAGAAGAGGTTGTTTTTACTTCAGGGAGTTTTATTTAAACACTTTGTATTGACTTAGAGACAAGAAAAGAGAGAGTTGGGATCATTTAAGAATCTTTAATTTCTATGATTATAAATTCAAACAATCATCCAGGACTAACTCTCTATGATGGATGCATATGGATTTGAATGTTGAAGTGTTGGTATGTGTGTGTGTGTGTGTGTTCAGAATCTCCAGGCTGAGGCAGGCGGATCTGGGTGTCAGATGTTTTGACTAGGAACCACGAGGGCTTCAGAAGCTCATGACATGAAATGCCATCTTGCCGAGTCTACGTACTGAGTAGAGTCTCCCGTGGTCAGATCAGGAATGTCAGGTCCTCGGACCTCCTTGGTACTGGACTGATGAAACAGTGTTGCAGCACGACAAAACCCGTCTACGGATAGCTCCCGGCAGTAGTGGCAGGTCTCAGCGCGCTCAGCTTTTATTTTGAAAGAACCGTCATCTTGTTGTTCAAATGACAGAATTTCCAGCTTGACAGTTCTCAGCTTAAAAGTAGAAAAATACAGCTGGCCAGTCTGTAATCTCCTTTAGCGATGATGATTTGAGAGCTGGTTGAAACTACGTTGAGTCTATGATGTAGCTCCGTTGGAGCTGAGATGGAACTGCCGTTAAAATGGCGTTGCTCTGTTTTATTAACTTAGTTGTTTATAAATCTTAGCAAATCGGAGTGGACAAATTGAGTAAACACTCCAGATTCTGCCCTGCAACAGAACGGAAGATCTGATTGGATGAGAACAATGTGTCATGCGTTCTTATGTGGATCAGTACGTCTGGCATAGTTAGTCCTGTTATTCAATAAACACATAAATTATGACATTTTTATTTCACAGATCGTTCACCTGATTATTATTGATCAACAGTTGTTTTGATTAACTTTATTAGAAATAAAGTTCTTTGATTAATTAATGAAAAGCGTTCTTCGTCCTTCTTCGGCCTTCTTTCCTGGAATGTAAGCATTAGAAAGAAGCACCCGACCTTGGCGATTCCTGCACACTGTTACTGTGTGAAGGGGCAGCTGTTAAGGGCAGACAACAGTATCTTCATAACGCTACACACCCCCCTTTTCAAGGTTAATGTGGTCCAGCAAGAGAGCACTTGGTCGTTGAACAAACCAAAGTTATGAAGAATCTTGACAGCCGAGCAGGATGCGATCCCCCTGGAACAGCCAACTGTGGTGAGGTACGAACCCCACGCCTGAAGAACAGTCTCGTATACTCCTCGGGAAGCACACAAGGCAGCAGGTTATTATATATTCCCCATGGAAGCCATAATTGAAGCAACAGCAACTTTATATATATCCACGGGCAATAATCTCAAGCAGGAGCAAAGCTTGTATGTATCCATGAGCAGGGAAGTATTCCAAATTATTCCAAATAGGGCATTGATCTTTGTAATATCACTTATCGTAATCCAGAAAAAGGGAAGAGCAGTAGGCAGTAATCCCAGCGAGTGAGATGTCCCAGCAGCCATGCCGGGACCACGGACGTCCAGGGCCAACGAGCCGGAGCACCACCCAGGAGTAGTCGATTCAGATGACGAGTCACGGGTCCACTCCCAGGAAGCAGGATCCTCACGAGCTCAGCAGAAGAGAGAGAGCACAGTGCAGGCACTTCAATGTAGACACGACAAGATTGCGTTTCATGTCCTCAAACAAATAAAACCTAACTATGAGTACCTGTTGCACTATGTGTAAGTTTTACGTGAATTACCCTTTAAGTGAAGAAATGGATGCACCCCTCTCTGTGTGAGATGCAAAAAGGATGGTGCGAAAAGCAGAAAATGAAAGAACCTTGTCTGGTATCAGTGAATCCTCACATGAAATACACGTTGACTGGATAGAGGCAAAATTGGTTATAGCCCTGTAAGGTTAATCATCGTAGAAAATCATAACGTTCACTTTCAATCAACCTGTCAAAGACACTATAAAAAGACAGAAATGTAAATCAATACTAAAGTGTAAATCAGTGGAGTTAGTAATCACTTTCATGTTAATGT